TGGGGGGATCTTCCAACTGGTTGTCAGCTGTTCTGTTGGAACCCAGGATCTGAAAAACATCTTAAGCAATTCTTAAACAAAAGCCATGCTAAAGTCAGAGATCTTAGCTATAGGAACAATGGGAATGCAAATTAATTCTTAACAGATGCCTTATGATTCTAATGTCAGAGATCCTACCTACAGAAAAATGGGAATGCATATGGTAAGCATCTAGTGCCATGTGACTTTCAGTTACAAGAAGATGGCCAAAGCGCAGGCTAAAAATCAGGCTAAAGTGCACCCTGATCAATGCTTAATTACAATTATTACTATATTTCTGTCCAGGATTCTTGTTAACCCTATAAAGAAGTCTTCAATATCCTCCTAAAATTAGAAGCAGATAATGATACCTGTAATGCTTGTTATTAATTGATATTGCTTTGGAAGTCCTGGAAATGGTTGTTAGGGAATTTTCAAAGAAAGAAACTATTATAGCATTCTCTAAGTGATTAAGCAGAAAAAAAAAAACATGAATTGGTTTAAAATTTCAAATTTTAAATTTCAAAAATTCATTGTTATAGCAAGAGTTTAGAAATGGCCAGATATAAATGTGTGTATACAATTATCTTTTTAAAAATAGCTTTATATTTGAAGTAGTTATATCTCAAGTAGACAATTGTGCTATGAGGGAAAGGAGGATGAATACACCCACACACACATACACACACATATACACAAACTAAATGTGACCTATGTTATAAAAATAACATTTTATTTGGAAATTGCTAATATTTGAAAGCAGGCAAAATCAGGATAGCAACAGAAAATGCCTGCCGACTTAGTGTAGTAATACAATATAGCATTTAGCCTGGCAAATTAATTAATTCATTACATAGCATAGTCCCCAGTTTTGTCAGCTCAAATCATGATTTTGTTTGCAGAAAAAAAATGTGGGTTTAACCAGATTCATAGATCACTCAGATAACCTACAATAATAATTTTTAATATGCAAAGGATAACTGTCACTCTTCCTGAAATGCAGATGTCAACATGACCACTGCAACTTAAGAAGCTAGATTTTAATTAGATGGCTGCTTGGTAAGCATAGAATTAGAGGAGTTGATTGAATAGTTGAAATGTTTATTGGCATCAGGTAATACTGAGACTCTGACAGGTGAAATATTTGTGTCAAGGTACAGCATTCAATGAACTCACAGCTAATTGTGCCTTTTTAGTTCCTTGTTTTCATGTTTCATTCCTGACTATCTTTGACATGTTCCATCTAATACATGTGTTATTTTTATTTATGGAATAAATGCTTTTTAAAATGTGTGGGCTAAAATTTAGATAGTACGGTATGGGGAAGAAAAAATAATTTTTCCTTAACTGGGAGTGGACTCCTATAACAAAAGACCGATTAACAAAAGAACAACAAATTTATTTATGTGTATATTTCATTTATACATGGGAGATATCCAGGGAATTAATAATTCTTAAGGAAGTAGCATTGAATTCCAGTTTATATAACATCTTTGTGATCCCTCAGCCTCAGAGAAGGGTGTACAAGATAGAGGTACAAGAAGCAATAGTTCCTGAAGCCACCAGGCTCAGTAGACAACAGGAACATGATGGAAATAGGCTCATTTATGCGCTATCCCAGAGGTCGCTGGGTATGTTTGGGTGCTTAATAGGTACTGGGAGTAGGGAGGGTGGTAGTTGTAGGAAAATGACAATCTCATGGTTCTATTTTTTAAACTTCTTTCTTTTAAATACTGGATCTGGCTCATTTCCCAACTTCTGGGGCTAAGGCTGTGGTACAGAGCTGGATGGTTGAGCGCTGCCTATAGGAACTTGACACAGAGGCAGAGTGACTTGTGCCACAGACAGCTCCCAGGCCTGGGGCTGGCTGCGCTAACTCCCAGAATGGCTAGAAGCTTAATTCCAGAAGAAAATACTACACCAGTACTCATTCTTCCCATTCACCACTCCATGCACCAGGCACCGCTTTAGGTACAGGGGAAATGACATAGAACCCCATGCTAAAGAAGGCAAATGAATTTTATTACACACAGTAAGTATCAAATGGGAACAGAGTCAACTTTGGTGGTCTCCATACAAACTCTCCAATATTCAAATCGTTGTCGAGTCTGCTCATAACACAATATTCTCTGTACAAATGCTTCTTTCCTTTTGGTTTTGGCTGAGTGGACATGACATCATCTCAGGTATACTCAAGGGTCACACAATGTACACTGATTCCTCACGATCTCTCTGATCAGGCCTCTAGTGAATGTCATTTCCCAGCACCTATCCAGTGAAGAATGTCCCACAACCGGGCAAAGCCATTGGAGGGTGTCTCCTGGTAAGGCAGATCATCCTAGAAAGGCCACCATCAGAAAAGCCGGAGTCTCTCCAGACCCACAAGCGAACTAACAAGGTCACTAGCAGCAAACTCACGCAGCTCTACAGCCCGTCCTACGGACTATAGAGGGTGCCACGGCGGTACCTCTAGTCTCGGTGTACGGGGCTAAGAGATTGTGAGCTCGTAGGATAGGGGTGACATAGAGTAAAGGGACGCGCATATGTGGTTTCCATCGCGTACAGTCCACCCTCAAATGATTGTGCCACCACCGACTGGGGTTCAGCATGCCCACCGCGTCCTCGCGTGTCCGGGCGGCCTCCTTCCAACATGCTCAGACCAATATACGGCCAGGCCTCAGAGTCTCGAGGCCACCTAGAGAACGCTAAGCTGTAATGTATGAAATCCGAGTAAGATCGTCATTGCGCGTAGATGTTCAGTGCCGATATCACGGGTTGTACAGCCGCAGTCCTAACACCTACTTACTTGCTGGACAATTCCTGCTCATTTCTCTTAATTGGTCCTGCAGACAGTTAGGGAGACACCAGGAGGAAACCTGTTTCCTTCAGGGAAACACCCAGCAGGATGACTGCACAGTTTTATGTGGAAGACACAAGCCTTCTCGATTGAGCAAAGAGCCAGGGTTAGGCTTGCAGTACAGCTGAGTGGCAGCAGCCTCCATCCACACAGGTACACCTTCCTGCAGCTAGACCCTCTCTTTGTTCTAATACACTCGAGTGAAGGGGGCGCTGATGGATGCTCATGGAAGGCTCCACAGGGGGCCTCCAGGAGAGGTCCGAGACTTACTCTGTAGTGTCCGGCGAGGTTGCCCCGGCCTATAAGCTGGTGTGAGATACCAAAATCATCTCTCCCATTGTGTCCTGCCAGGTCTTCCTCGTTGTCTAACCAGACTAGACTTCTTGGCGAAGCTCCCAGGATCGGCACTGCAACTAGCTGAAATATGCCAGACTCATAAAGAAGTACACAGATCTACGAAGCCCTAGGGGATTTTGAGCTCTTCTCATTTGGTTTATTTCTGCCTCTAGGAACAGAAGAAGGCTGTGAAATGGGGAAGACAGTCGCGTTGGGGATGAGGGACTGGCGAATATGAAGAATGGGAAATGTGCACACACACTTTAAAGGGTGGGCGCATGAAGCGAGAGTAATCATGCCATGCACAACAGCATGCAGTAGTCAAAGGGATACAATACAATAGGTAATAGGGGGGGAAGACGATGTGAAGCTCATCAGAGGGTCCAGGAAATGAAGAGTAG